CAAGCAAGCAAGCAAGCAAGCAAGCAAGCAAGCAAGCAAGCAAGCAAGCAAGCAAGCAAGCAAGCAAGCAAGCAAGCAAGCAAGGGACTGAGATAATTGTTAGCTTACAGTTTGACGTCCAGTAGAGTACCACCCTGGGGCACATGTTACATTTTGATCACTGTTCGTGTAGGGACAGGCTACTCCTACTGGACAATCTGTACAGCTTTCTTGGTTTCCTGTGGAATATGTTCCCTGAAAAATAATTCCAAATAAATTGAATTACAACCTTACTACATTCAAATCTATTTGAACGGCAACCCGTATGTGACTATCCAAGCCACCATTTTCACAAATTCCTGTTTCGCGTTTTAAATAAACCCTGTTATTAAAACCTCTCGAAGGCGACAACTCTCGTATGCTTTCGCGACTACCTTTGATATTTGGTTTTACATATTTTAATCGTTTTTCCTGTCGTAAGCAATYAACCCCCTATCTTCATGAAACTTGGATGACAGGATTCTTAAAACGAGTATATGGCGGTTATTATTACTATTAACTACTAACTATTCAACAGTTAGACTAAATTCACTCCATTAAAAAAATCTACTTATTAATTATTTCTTTATTATCGGCGTGAGACAAGTGGGGAGTCATGGCATACATGTTTGGGGTCATGTATGTATGTATGGGGGGTCATGGATGTTCGAAGGGGGTAATGGTAATGGGGGTCATGACTGGTTACCATTTGGTAAATTGAAAACAAGTTGACTTACAGCCAAGCAAGGAACATTTCCAGTACCATCTACATCAGGGCATTTCCATCCAGCTGGACAAGAAGTACACGATGCTTGGCCACCCACTGAATACTTGCCAGTGGGGCAGGCTTCCTCTTTTGGTCTATTGGTGAATGGACAGTAAAACCCAGCTGGACAAACAGTACATCTTTGAGCATTATCAACTGAGTAGTACCCTGAAACAAATGGAATACAAAATAGATAAAATGCCATGGGTTTTACAGTTTTAGTTTTACAGTTTTTACAGTGGCATTTCCACAGACTGGCTCTACATTCACTGAATTCCAACTGGAATTTAGAAGTTCATTTTTGTGGAGGGAGGAAAACCGGAGAAAAACCCTCAAAGCACAGCTGGAGAGAACTAACAAGCATCTCTTCTCACATACGCCACCAAGTCCTGGAATCGAATCAAGGTTGCACTGGTGAGAGATGAGCTCAATATTGAATAAAATTAGCAATGTACATATAGTATGGAAATATATATCTGAAAGGAATGAATCCAGTAAATAACAGTTCATCACGTCAAGTCTTTCCTGTAGAACAATGGTTAGAGCATCCGACCGCTATCCGCAAGGTCATGCGGGGGTTCCATTCCAATCAACTAGTAACCTGAGTATCAGGCCTTCGGGGTGCCCAAGGAGATGTTAGGGGGGGGGGCGGCTGGGTTATCAGAAATAATAAACACTTATTATAAGAAGATGAATAATTACAGTAATATAAAGAGATATGTATGTATTACCGGCTTGGCATTCTCTGTTTTCACTTGACGAAGAAACTGATGGGCATTCCCAGCCAGCTTGGCAAGTGCTACAGTTCGTTGACCCAGCATTGCTGTATTGACCAGGTATGCATGGTACTGGTAATTTCTACACGTATAAAAGTATTCTTTTAGAAAACAATTGAAAGAACATCATCACATGAGGTGTGACATATAATGATAATAATAATAATAATAATAATAATAATAACTTTATTAGTAAGGGTGTAAAGTTTCCAGACTGATGATTTTCAGGTGTCCCTCATGATGAATTTTGTTTTGAGTTTTTAAGTTTTTAAACTTACTTCAAAGTACAAGGGAGAAATCATTTATTTGTTTCTGATTAGCGTACTGCTTGTGGTAGGCTAGAAGGCCATCACGATAAATAGAGGATATTACATGGGCGCACGGACATACGAAATTTATCTTTGAGTGTTGAAAAGATCTCTCACGAGTGTGCGCAGTGAATGAGTAAGACATTTTGAACACGAGAAGATAAATTTCGTATCTCCAAGCGCCCATGTAATATTCTGTTTATTATATAATTATCCATTTATATATATATTATATATTTATCCATACATATTATCAAACTTAACAAGCTTTTTATGATTATTAAAAGTTTTTATTTATAAACTAATAGCTTAAATACACATGGTAATGATATTTTCACATGTGAAAATAACATGTTATTTTCACATGTGAAAATATCAGTTTTTCGAGAGGGAGAAATATAGGTATTTTATGGATAATTATATGATAATAAAGTTTATGTAATATGTATTAGTTGCTTATAGAGCTTTTTACAGTAGAAAGCTCTGGTGGTGTGCACTGCTAACGCGCACTTCTCACGTCCTGAGACCAACTCTATCATATATACATGAGTAGAGTTGTTTGTTGGTTCTCTCCTGTGCTTTGAGGGATTTTCTCCAGGTTCTCTGGTTTTCCACCCTCGGCGAAAACCAATTTGCTAGGGTTTATTAGCCCCTGGCTATATCTTAAAAACTCATTTGCCTTAGTTGTAGAGGTGACTAAATGATAAAGACACCTACATCTGTGGTTGGACAAGCACTTCCTGCAGGACACTGGATACATTTTGCAGAACTTCCGAGACTATAAGAACCTGATCCACAGGCTACCATGTTTGACCTACATCGAGAAAAAAAAAATCATAATGAATAAATAATAAGCTGTGAATCTTTTATGTAAGAAGAAGAGAAAAAAATATGAAATCTTCAGAGTAACATAAGTGTAGTTCTGATATTTTTTTCCCTATACTAATCAAATAGATGTTCACCAGGGCCAATGTCTGCAAGTGGACAGTGCAACTAAATCAACCAAGGCCATGCAGACAAATTTTGATACAAATTAGCCAATCACAATTGAGTATTTAAACTAAGGATCTGCACAAATTTCAATATTTTTCCCTGGTGTGTGTTTGATCAGGAGTGAACAAGAAACAGGTTAGACTCCTGAACTTGTCACAGTATTCTCTGTCATTCAGAGCCAAGCATGATTAGTGATTTTGGCCTTGGTAATTATGTAGTCGTACTCTAAGAGAAAAGTAATTGAAAATTGAATATTAAAAGAATAATGTTATGGCGACTTAATGACATCCTTAGCAATTACACTTCGAGAATCTCAGTTTTTTAAAATTGTCTTTTTAGAAAATGTTTTTTCGAAATGTTTTCTAAGGAATAAAAGTTCAACAGCTGGCATAAATTAGAAAGAATAGGCAACCTTTATTTCAACAAGCAAACAAATACTTACTCAGGGTTAATACACTCGTATCCAGCAGGGCAGCTTGTACAGTTCATTTCCTTCTTTCTCCCGAAAGTCATAGTTCCAATAGGACAGTGAATGGGGATTTGAGCTGTTGTTGGACACATATAGCCAACTGGACAGTCAGTACAGTTAGCCTCTCCCTTGATGGAGTAGGAACCTGAACTGCATGGTGTTCTGGGTGATCCTGGCGTGGGGCAGCTCTTTCCAGCTGGGCAGGGAGTACATGAAGTCGCACCCTACATTGAGCAAAATCATTATCAAAATGCTATATAATTAGGTATTTAGTTACCTTGGAGTTCTTCCCTCTAACAAAGAACCTGGTACTTTTCGCTCACATAGTCTCTCACACTTCTGTTGTCGGTCCTAAATCAACTGTTAAAATCACTGACCATTTTGTTTGTACCACTTCTAATGTTGTATATTGTATTAAATGTACCCGCTGTAATCTTTTGTATGTGGGCGAGACT